TCAAGATGATTAGAGAAGCACAGAGATGAGAGTAAATCTAGCTCTGTTCCACCTTAACCCTAAACCTAGTGATTCAAAATCTTGCCGTGAGATTAGAAGCACCTAGAGTGTGAGTGTGAGGTGAGCATCACCAGATAGTAGGGACAGATGAGAGTGAAGAAAAAGGAAGCAGAGATTCCATTTTATAGCACTTGCTCAAATGAGCACGGTGCTGGGGTCAGAGAGGATGTTGGTGTGATCAGGCCCTGATCCTGCACAGCCTGCAACATGCGTTGTTAAGCATCAGCACAGTAGTGCATGACACGTAAAGAAGAACTGGAGCTAACGAAGGTTTGGACAAGTTCTCGCGACAATGGGCACCCATAAAGCTTTACTTGGCAAAAAGCTCGAGTTCGTACACAGAGGTGAAGTGGCGATAAGAGTTCGGGGATCCCTTACGCAAATATAAAATACCGCTCCTAATTTTTGCTCAATCGACGGGATAATCCACTGCAAGTCGTCTATTTGCCGTAACTTCTGCAAAGAAGGACCCAAATGATATAAAAATTATATTGATGGATATTGTTGATCATGGCGACTCTAGTGGTATAGTAAAGCCGATGAACACGAAGTAGAAAAGGTGTGATATTTGAAGGAAGCACTACACATCACTAGGAGCGAAACTTGTCACAACTCCAAAATGCTCAATAGTTTTCTTCTTTGCTATGGAGCATAAATATGCTAAAGCAACAACACGTGATGGTTTCCTTACAATTGCTACTAATTCAGCGAAACATGCTTGGACCATATTTTAGAAAATACGAAGTATGGGTTGAGCAAAACCTGCCCTTGAGAAGACGATATAACGCTCAATTATTTTTTAATTTTCAGTCAACTCGGTGTCACACTTTCATGATCGCCTGCTGTTACCTCACCAATCTGATCTGAGGCTGTTGCTCAAGCGATCCGATGTCACCGAAGGAATCAGATCAAAATGATACTGCCTACACGCAGCTCATCAAGGTAATCGTGGAGGTCAGTCATCCAGTATTCCTCTAACAAGGAAAGGCTCCCTGGTCGCCATGGCCATTCAGGAGTACAGCCAGAAAGCTTTATTAGCCTGTTTAGCCTGATCTCTGAAGAACGCAAGACAGTAAACGCGATCAGGGCCGATCCTACGACGTTTTGACTGCAAATCCCGACCACTGCCGTTGCGCTGTTTTGCTTCATAACCCTTCAGAGAATCGTTTAGCAGATTTGGAAGGTAGATTTGAGATCAGCGTTCAAAGGCACATCTAGTGGTATACATCTCTTCTTGAATGGCCATGGCGACCTGGGAGCCTTTCCTTGTAGTAAAAACTGACGCCATTGAACTGGTGAACATAATTTCACTGGGAAAACAATGCACGAGTGAACTACATTTTTCGTAATGATTTTAAGTCCATTTTTCGAAAAAAAAATGAAGAGATGAATGAAAATGAGATGAAATGGAATTGTCAAGCTATACAAATAAATTAAAAACTGTTGGAATAAGTCGAAAAGTAAAGAGTTATTGAAGAAAAGGCGGAGCTATCACTTCGTTTTTGCGCACTATTGAGAAATAAGCAGACACACTTTCATGAAAAAATTGGCCAGTAAGCTCTCGATTCTTGGCCAAATTTCGCTTAATCTCCAAAAGTCTTTGAAGCGAGCTCCATGTCGTTTCTTGTTTGACCATTCGGATCTTTGGTCTCGAACTGTTGGCATTAAACCACTTTAAACCGAGGTGTACCAACAAAAAGTTCAGCACGTGTGAGAAACCTTTTGCTTTTATTTACAATGATAACAGGAAATTCATGCTCATCTCGATATATTACTATGGGGCTTGAGACGCGTGTCAGAGCTCCGAGCGCCAACAAGAGGTCTCAGAATTGATTAGTTCGCAGGAGATTGCATTGGGCAAAACGGTGTGCTGAACCGTTTGACTTTCAGTGATGAGGGCAAAGAAAGGGTAAAGGTTAAGATGCTGAAGCCCTTAATTCGCTTGATCAGAGCCAAGAAAGGATTTAAAGTACTTTTGGACTAATAGACCATTTTTCCAGGAACTACGCCCAATCGGGGAACTGGTAACGAGTTAGCCCGTTCCTTTTTTGAGCAGATCTGTTGAAATTGTCGCTAAAACAGACCGAAGAGAGTGTTGCTATTGGACGTGGGAGCATGATATTTATTCATTTATTTATTGCACATAGGTGCGCCATTAACACTGGTGCGAGGTTAGTAATATAAAACCATACAATCGACAAAGAAAAGGAGAAAAAAACATTGAAAAAACTCATAGAGTTAACAGGAAGTCTGAAAGCACTCGTCTTTTCCAATGATGGTATGGAACGAGGATAGAGATAAGTAATATTGCACTGCAGATACTCTCACCAACTGTATTCAGTGCTCAACCTTTTGAGGAGAGCCGCGGAAAGTTGCAGGCCTCAAGTGCCAGGAATGCCAATGCTGGCCGCAAGCAGAGTGGTTCGGGGATAACGAGAAATCACTAATCAGCCATTCACCCACAACTTGTAAATAGGAATCGTACCATGGTTGCCGAGCGCCATTTACATGGATACAGTCCTGGAAAGCAGTAGAGTACAGGTATATATCGTAGCGTTTTTTTTTTCGAGCGTACAAACTCAATCAATGTAAGCATTACCTGGAAAACTGCGTATGCCATTTAAAAGTGCTTTTTCCGCTCTATAACGACTTTCTCGTCTTCGTTCACTATTCTAAGTGAATTCAGATATATGATCTTAAACTCGGAAAACCTAGGCGGTGGATAGGTATTTTGACAGCTTCCGTTCCTCGATTCACATATTGGCAGAAGCTGTCTGAAAAAGGAGGTATTCTAGAACCCGCCGTTCTCTCAGAGCTTACTCCAATCGACCATAAATTTTCCGCTCAATTTAAGACCATGTTCATGTCCTACTAATGGGGAATAATGAGGACTTCGAAAAATAGGCTAGATATCCTTTTTTCATTCCAACTCCGGTGGCTTGTAAAAAGAGTGCGTAAAGGTTAAACAATGGAAAAGAAAACATCATAGATTGGTTCATTCCGCTACGTTTTGCTGAACATAAGCACAACGATATTATCTTCGACCTGGAGTGAAAAGCACATAGAGTAAAAATGACGGGTAAGAATGCTATCATAAGACTTCTATGGAGGAGCGAAACTGAATCAAAGGAGTCCTGAATGAATTTCATGTCAGCTCAAAAACGAGCAGTGGCCAGTTCTGTTGGGAAGCGCTCTGCTTTGAAAACAGCATTACATCAGAATTCAACATTGAATTATTCTGCAACTTCAACTTCATGGAGAAAGGTCTACCACATATGAAACTTACTCACGTTGATTCTGCGCTATGTACCTACTGTTATGTAGTTTACCTGAGTCATCTCTATATGCTCCATTTAAAGCGCATACAAATATGTTGAGTCACTTCTACAAGTTTGATGACAACATTTGGCGGGAATACCAGCGGTCTGGTCTCGGTGTAACAGCGAGTAGATCGGCTAGTAGTAGTCAACTATTAGTTTGACGAGATGACTAACGGGCTTGTATTTTTCGCTGAGTCTTAGCCAGCTCCTGCTCGATACGGTTCTTTTTCCGTAAATCTGGCGCACTTCCGCGGAACATCGGTCCAGTTTGTCTCTCCGCCTCCGGCACACCACGAACACGCGCCCTATAAAAGCCGCCTTCAACGAATGAGCATCGCTATTCGGTAATGATCCTTTTACTTGGCATACTTTATCTGTTTATTGTTTCGGCAGAAGCGGCGAATGAGGTACGTAAGCACTCTTCCGGCGAAATCATACACTCATACTGAATTTTGTCTAGTCTCTTCATTTTCATCTCTAGCCCGCTAAAATCCATAAATCTCAAGAAGAGTTTTTTCCATTTCGCTGTGTTGAGCGCTCGCTCAAGACACTGAAGGGCTTTGAGTGGAGTTGTCGAGCTTCATTTGGATCAAGCTTGATCAGGAATTATTGATAATCTAAAGGGATTTTGTAGCAGAATTGAGCCTGCTTCAATTGTTAGCTGTACTAGAAAGGAGGCAAAAATTTATTTCCTGAAACTCGTAATTAGTTGAGAGGCAATGGTCTGCAATGCCATACTTGACCATAGCCTCATCATTATTGCATTTGCCTAATAGCTTGGTAATGACGTTCTTTCTGATGCCATAGCGCACATCACGGTTCTGGCTGCGCCACGCGATAAAGTCTGCCAAATCTGCTAGGTTTCTACGGAAAAAACTACTCAAACTGCTATGACTGCTACTACTACAACTGCAACTGCTATAACTACTGATAAGCGGCTTCTTTCAAGTTTTTATTTATGTTATTGATGTATTTCTTTATCAGGCAAGCATAAATTTCCAAGCTGATCAAAAATTGCCTTTCCATTTGTTATAGCAGTCCATTGGAATCGCATTACAAAGTTGACCTCATAGTGCTCCATTTTCCCTTTGCACTCCTCCCTATTTAGACCACAACAGGACTCATCCACTCTGAGAGTAGTGAAGGCATCAGGTTTTTCTTTTCCAATGAAATGCCTTTAACAAAATGCGATTTTAATATCCTTTGTTTTAATTAAAAAACTTTCTCAGAGCAAATTCTGGGTGAATGTTTTTGTTTTAATAGAATACGTACCCTTCCTGATTGATTCCAAAACTGCGTGAAATGAAGGCAAAAGCTCTGACTGTCAGTGGAGCAAGTGAAGTACTTTGGAAACTTCCTCATTTCTTTCTGACTCACGTCTTTTCGCGACCCACTCAGGGGGTCGATCATTTGCAGGTCTTCCATTACAGAATTCTCTTGTTGAAACTAAATTCTGGATAAGCAAAGCTGAAAAACTCACCTTTGGAAAACTAAATTCTAATTTGGCAAGCGACAGCACAACTAAACAGTTGTATATTGGACAAATATCAAATTGGATCTGAGTTGTTCCTTCAAAACAACATTTGACGGACACAGGAACACTTAATTGTGGTGTCCAACATGTTTTGTTACAGACTCATTTGGCCAAGGATACCACCCGTGCTAGGAGATGTTGCTCGCAGTACTCGACAACTTGCTGCGCCCAGGTGAAGTTGGCTCACATGTTATACAATTTCATGCTATTTATTTGAACAAAGGAATCCTGATTTGAAGACGTAACTTCTCTAGAACATTCTCTCCTTCATTTAAATTCCTGGTAAAGATGTAGGGATGATCTCAAGGCGAGGTCGGGGTCACCAATTAGGGTGTGCCTGCAGCGCATTCTCCGCAGGCCAAGCTAGTTCATTCATCACTGTAGAACAGTAGTTCCGCCTAGAAAGATAGACCACTGGTTCAATGATAACTGAATTTTACTCCCTAACGCTAACCTAAGCGCTAAGCTAACGGCGCAAAGCCCGCTAAACTCCGGATGAAGGCCGATTTCGAATGTTTGGTGCATTCAAAAAATTATGACGAAATCTCTATCAACTGGAACGAAGTCGAAACGGACGCTGGGGGATTTAAAAAAACTGAATTCATGGTGCATTCAAACAGGAAATCACGATTCTACCGACGTCACCTCGAGAGAATGAAACCATACGAACAAAATGCAAAATGACTGACATGGTTCATTTCGCTTCTTCCTCAGAATCTTATTATTTTGTCAATCCCTGGAGCTTAAGACGAGAAGGATGGAGCTACGTTAGTGACATAAGTGACACATTCCTAAACGGATCCCAGGCAATTGGTTTTTCCATTAGTACTCCCACATCAACACCGTTGAGACCAGGTTGGAAGACCAGATGAGAAAATGTCGATTCTGTAGAAAAAATTAGACCTAAAAAGATTTTTCAGCCAGTTTCTTGTCTCGATACGTGTCAAGCTCAATGCATCCCCTCAGTGCAAGACAGAAGTGTGTGTCACAGGTAACTGCAATGTTAACACTTTTTTGTTACACTGAAATACCCAATTGAAATCTAATGTAAACCTGATCAAACTGAAAGTGCAGTTTTTAAAAACATCCTTGTGATGATGAAGGAAATGAATCTTTTCTTGCCCAATTGAGGTAGGTATGGTTCGAAGGAAATATTTCTTTTTTTTAATATGTAACACTACTTAAATAACGCTTAGTCCGTTAGCAGTGCTTGGTAGTTCTCAGCTCCCAAACCACCTCAACTAGTAGTCCAAGAAAATCAAAGAAGAGCACCCTAAGCAAAATCATGGTTTCTCAATAGGTATGTTTTGGAATAATTAAAATCTATCTTCCAGGCTGCTTGACTGTCTGCCAGCAGGTCTGTGCAGTTCCTGCTCCACCACCGCCACCTCCACCACCACCTCCGCCGCCGCCACCACCACCACCACCACCGCCACAACAGCCAATTGTCGTTGTCATGCCCGCGCCAAAACCACCTCAGACCTGCCAGCCTGTCTGCGTGCAGTCCTGCCAAGCCAGTTTGTCCCGACAACTAATTGCGTTGATTTGTGCATCAAGAAATGCGAGACAGTCTGCCAGACGTGCTGTGCTCCAGCACCACTTCCTCCTCCACCGCCACCACCTCCACCACCACCACCACCGCCACCACCACCACCTCCACCAGTCCAGACGGTAGCACTTGTGCCGGTAAGTATTCAATTCATTGTTAACGTATTTGACGTTTACGCTCACTGGCAGTAACTATCAGCCAGTATTGGTTCTTCGCTCAAACACTTCACTTCCCTAAAGTCATTTTTGTAGTATATTCACAGAATTGCTCTTTTTTGGTTTCCGAATTCCGACCGGTTTGGTTCGGCTATCAACACCAACAGCTCCCATTTCGCGCGCGATCCCAAACTCGACGGTGCTCCTCAAAAAGCATTCATGCCTCCTCCTCCGTCCTCGACGAATCAGCGCTTTTGGAAAATAGTTTTGAAAATGCGCTAACAGTTGCGAAGAACGAGAAAGTCAGCTTCGAATACCAATGGAATCCCCCATCGCAGGGAATTATTTCTGTTTCTTAGGGCTCTTGGAACCATAAAAATGAGCAGCAATGTGGTTGGAGAGCCGGATTCTCATCCTACCCCCAGCGCGCCACCCTCGAAGTCAACTTATCAGTTACATATAGTCTTAAGGCGAATAGTGGGTTAGCGACAAAATCCGCGAGCAAAAGGAAATACTTGAGCTGGCTCGTCGACAAACCTTAGCGTTCTCCATCGTTAACATCAAATGGGGCGTATGAGCTCAATTTCTTTTGAGTTAGAGGCATACTTGCTGATACATTACGACCACCTAATCAACTCCTTGCAATATTTATTTTATTTCATTTTATTTATTCATTGGCCAATCACTGCAGAAAGTAATACGAAGTAGTTATCGAGTATTTACCAGCCGATTGACTTATTGATTATCTAAGAGAGAAAAACTTTGTGGTAAGAACTCCATACGGCTCCAACAGTTAGTGCCAATTAGTTTTGAGGGAGCAATCCGTTATGCACCGATAGATTCATATAGACCGGATGGGCATTACTTTTAGAGAACCACTGGCCACCGAGCCCTGAAAATAACCGACTACTGAGGCCGCAGCACAACAGGGGCGGGTGCCAAGTGCACCTCTTTGATCTAAATACGAACCCCAGGAGCTGGCTCAGGGGTGCTTAGGAAGGCTCCATTATGAAGTGCACTATTCCTTCTACTCGAAACAACTTCTTCGTGTACTTTGCTATGTACGCATGATGTGCTGTTCCTAGAGCTTGATAATTATATTGGAGACCCATTATTTCACTCAGGTAAAATATGAGTGGCAGTACAACTGCAAAAATTCTATCATTATTTTCCAGTCAAAGTATAGAATCACCAAATCATTTCTGCGATTTTAAATGGATAGTGAAATCGTGACGGGGGCAATATGGCAAAGTTCAAAGCTTTTACTTGCTAGTAAAGTCCTAAATAATTAAAAAAAGAAGGGTATTAGGTGTGCAAACTGACGAGTGAGAACTTCCCGATGTTCGAAAATTGTTATTTCAGGTGCAAGTTTGTCTGGCCGCATGTATTCAACCGTGTGAAGTCCGATGTCTGCAGACACAACCGCCAACAGTCTGCGTTCCTCTTTGTCAACAGACTTGCACTACCACTTGCCAGCAAACTCAGCAAGCTGTAGTGGGTTTCCGTTTGATTTATAAGGTGAAAACAGTTGAGATCTATATAGCACGACAAAAAATAAACGAACGTAATCCCTACCACCTGGTGGGTCCCTCAAATTTCCAGCTCACCAGAGGGCTCTGGAATGACGCCACCTCTGGAATAAAGTCCTGATCAGACCAAGGAACGCGGCAATGGTGGCGGGGAAGGCCTATACTATTCTTAAAGAATTCAGAGCGACAGCGCAACCTCTGGATTGAGTTACCGCTTACTGACCGCAATGTTCGCTCTTGAAAATGATCGAAGCATTTGCGTGCTTCAAAAACGGAATTCTGACGTTTTCCCAAAGCGCAGTGAACACTGCAAAACTTTAGTACCTCCAATTTCAGTGCTAAGATAACTGTTTCTGGTTTCACTCAGTCTCGTATTAGGTATATTTTGCGACAACAGCGAGACCAGTCCTGCTTACTCGTCGAGGAGTGAAGCAGTCTATAAGGCGGCTTCTTGCCCAAGTCCCACTAAAGTTGAGCGGGTAATACTTCTTTTTTACTTGTTCTGTGGAACAAACTTCTCAGCCAACTAAGGAGACGTGTCAGAAATCAGTCTTCATATGGTGAGACGGTGTAGGCCAGGCCTCGGGAGGTTCCAAGATCATTATTGATGAAAACATATGAAATCATCATGATGACCAAGCCCGATTTTCTTAATAAATGAAACTCTGAACATCTCGTTGAGAGCCTCATAGCTGAGAACGGTCCAACTCGAAGACCTGTGCCTGTTGTTGGCACAAACTCCAGCAAATTGTGGCATCCGATTCTTCCCAAGAGGGATACCCTGAAAGGGCGCAGCAGAGCAATTCTCAAAATTGACGCAGTTCACATTGCGCAAAAGAGACTAACGAGTCCCAGATTTTTTCGTTTTCCAGGTCCCGTGTCAACAATCGAGCGGACCCGTGTGTCTGTGCAATGAGGGCTACTCGCAATGTGGTGGAATGTGCTGTCGAGTGTGAAGTTCTGCTTCTGCGTAATGTCAACACTACTCCCTTCTATTTGTATATATTTGTATTTCTAACAATAAATTCAAGCCCGAACTGTGTTTGTGTCGATTCCCAAAGAGTGCCAAAACCAACGCTTGACGCACAACTTTTGCTCTATTTGCCTGGTGGTGGTCAAAAACCGGGCATTCTTGTACAAAAACGCTACCAAGGAGCAAACCGGCAACGCATACTTAACTGTTGTTTATGTGCGAACTGGTGGCCGAAAACTCGAGAGCAATGGCAAACACCGAGAAAATGTCGGAACCAGTAATGAGTGCGAGGATCACCACGGCACGCCGTGGACTTGTTGACCATCAGAAATGGGAACTACGTATCCATGGGAAATATGAGCGGGTAAAAGGGGAGAGTACAATTTCCAACTTTTCCCAACTTTGCTCTGAGCCAAGAGTGATAATGATCTTATTAGAAAACTATGAATTCAGGATTCTCTGTGTGGTAGACAACTAGACGACATTCTTTTGCAGCAAGTTTTTGCTCAAGGGTGCGCGGAAATTTCGCTCTCAAATTACCACTTCAACATTCGCCGTTCAAACGGAAAATTCTAATTTGTACATTCTCTCGAATAACTGTAAAGCCAGCTTAAGCAACAAGGAGAGTAGAAAACGGAGAAAGAAAAAATCTTACAAATTGAAAAAGTAAAGCAACGTTTGCTCAAATCTCTGAAATTAGCAAATATAAGCGTGGAATTCCTCTATTCTGGAATGCTGACGGATATGTGGTGCAAATAACAACAACAAGAGCTGACACTGATCGAACAGCCTGTTCCATTGTTTTCATGCTCGTGCTACGGTTCAGCAATACTTCAAGCCACAGCTGACCAGTACAAGAGCGCAGAGTGGAAAGAGTGCGTCGAAGCACCAGTTAGTTACATGAACACTTCTTTAACCCATTCGTGACAATGGCAGCCACCGGTGGCTGACAAAGATCTCACTTGTACAATGGTATCCACCGGTGGCTGCCGTGTTTCAAATGGAATTTGGAAAGTTTTCTTTCCCTGAAAAGAATCTTCATTTGGGTACGGAGAATCTCCATCCACTCAATTTTATTGAAGAAAAATCTCCTGACTCACCTGCTAGTGCGCAAACCGGCTTCGCGAATGGCTTAAAGCAACAGTTCAGGGAGGGTCCGAAAATTTCAATGCCACTACTACTGAGGGATACACGAGCCCTAGTGAAGAACATATGCAGTGGAAATAATAAACGAAACTTACCTCAGAAACTCAAAAACAGGGTGGAAAGTCCCTCAAACATGGGTGTTCTTGGGGATTTCCCCAATCCCGCCCCCTTGCCGGCCGTCATTGGACGCGTGGACGCGTCGGCAATCGTGCTCGTTTTGGGACCACAGGGAAAATTGATTGAAAAATGGAGCGCGTTTACAGCGGGCACGTTCAGACAACTCGTCCAACGTGCGTCTTTATCCATTGCTGAGCGGCAGAGGGAGAGTACCTGTCTAAGACCCTCCCCGACGTTTTTTTCCAGTTTTTCATACATTAATCGTCTGGTTTTCATCTACAACTTCATTATTGGTGGTTTTTTCCCGCGAAACCGTTCCTGAACTGTTGCTTTAATAAGTGCACGGTACCCAACCATAACGCTGTCCCTTGTCCATCGCCAGCGCTGCTAACCTTATCAATCGCGACATACTTGCGTTTGCGCCCTCTCGCGTATGACGTAATCTCTCGTGTTTTCATTCAACTCGCAGCGCTGTCTCTCCGTCGCATGAAAGCGCCTCACAAGAGGAATTTCAATGTTTTCTATGGCGCTTTTAGCTTTTTTCTCCCTACTAAGGTTCCTCTTTGCACTTCTTGTATAACTCCAAACTAAAAACACACCAATTCGATCCCTACCCGTGCCTTCAAACGCAAGCTCCGGAATATGACCACTGAGGCTATCACCTTGGTAGATGAAATAGAGCTGCTTGCTCCACCGATGAACCGTTACACGGCTCGAAAGCGCGCGACAGGTGCATCATGGCCTTGCCACGATGCTAGCGATCGTGGCCTTGGGTGCTAGTGAACCGCTCACCATATAACGGGCTCTTAGCTGCACCCTATTGTGCGGCGTGCTCTCTCACGCGTCTGCCTTCTCTGGCTGTTCTATCTCGTCTATCCATTGTACAACACCCCACCCTACACAACGTTTAGCTCCGCAACTCCATTGGTCTCGATGGTTTCTTTTGGTTTCTTTCTCTCTCAGCCCACTCTGTACCCCACCTTCCTTACAGAACGCTCGTTCACAACCATTTCATCTCATGACTTGTCTTCAATGAGCATAAACGTAAGCGTAAATCTTCATGGAACTAGCACTGTCGCAGCCCAGTTCCTTTTCCGCCACAGTTAACCGGAATCGACCGACTTCGCTGCAATTCAGTACCGGTTTCCAATTTCAAAAAATATGTTCAGTGAGACAACGTATTCGGATGCGAATCGTGACGGCCGCTTTTGAAAACATTTCTTTTGCAAACTCCAAACAAAATAAAAATGGCTTCCCTTTTCTGGAAAATAACACAATCTTTCAAATTACCCAAAAGGAGACACATTCATATCAATAAGAAAAATCAGTGTATCATAAAATCACAAAACAAAGATGGCCAGTGAACAATCTCGCTGAAGACATGTGAAAATAGGATGAAAATGAAATGAATTAAATGATGAAATAACTACGTACTACCGGTTTCAATAATTTGAGACAAACCAGTGCTTCTCAATGAATCTCCACGGAGGCTGCATCGTGCCGGACTTCGTCGAGTTGTGTTGTATCAGCGGCTGCGACTTAGTTCCAGAAAGACATTCCAAGTGGACGCGTCTTTAGACATTGCTGCCGTAAATTCTCAATTGGAAGAGGTTTGAAAGCTCGAGGCTTTTCGGAATTCGCCGATAGCTTGCACAGAGTCCAGTAGGCCTTTGTCGTCCGTCTGCAAACCAACCAACTAAAATCTACATGATCAAATAGATGAGATCAACGTAATAATTCGATTAATGATGGGCAACTCCCACATCACGTGTACAATTTAACATTGTGGAGCAGCACTTTTTCGACACTTCCGTGGCGCGTAAATTATAACGAATCGCGGGCGCTCTACAATTCCTGAGACGCCACTTTAGTGTATTGCATACCATAGTTATGATATAGCTACAGGTTAGATGAAGGTCGTGCACGGAAACCACATGAAATCAGCCCACTGTGAATCGGTGGCATCCGAAAAAAGAACGCGGATAGCAGAGAAGAGCTACAAGCCAAGGTGCAGAAATGGCAGAAAGTCCTGGCAGAAGGTGGGCTCCGGCTGAATGTCAAGAAGACCAAGTTCCTGAGCTCCGAAGAGGGTGCAGAGCCGATCGTGGACGGCCATGGTGAGACCATCGAAAGAGTGGAGGACTTCCGCTACCTTGGGAGCGATCTGGCAGCCGACGGTAGTGTGGATCAGTGAAGGCTCGGAGTCAACGCTGCATGGATGAAATGGAGGGAGTCCACTGGAATCCTCTGCGATCGAAGGTGCTCCAGAACGCTCAAAGGGAAGGTGTACCGGACAGTGGTAAGGCCTGCGATGCTATACGGCAGCGAGTGCTGGCCCCTGAACAAGAATCACGAAAGGCAGCTTCACTCCGCTGAGATGAGGATGCTGAGATGGGCCTGCGGCTGGACGCGACTGGACAGGGTCAGAAACGAGGATGTCAGAGCGGTCATGCAGACTGCCCCTGTCCAGCTGAAGGTGAGGGAACAGCGTCTGCGATGGTATGGGCACGTGCTAAGGAGGCCACAGGACCACCCGATAAGGAAGCAATGGACTTCGAAGTGCAAGGCAAGCGACCGCGAGGAGCCCCAAAGAAGAGGTGGAAGAGACGTAATCAAGAAGGACCTAAGTGAATCACGGCCACAGCAGAAGATGCCCTGGACAGAGCGAAGTGGCGACGACTGATAAAGACAGCGGACCCTGCGACTGCGCGGGACTAACGCTAGGGAGAAGAAGAAGAAAATCGCGTCGCATCATATCGCTCCAAGGCGTTTCTTATTATTCTTGGAATACGAAAACTTCAATCCAATTTCTTCCTAAGATGCGTTACCGAATACGTAGCCATCCCACCACGTACGTCGTTCCTTGCGTCCATCTGTCTCTTCCCCAGGATGTGTGAACTGTCCGCCAAGAGTGATTTTTTAAGGTTTGTTTCTCTTCAAGAAGAATTTCCATATCTGAGACTTTGCACATTGCATTTAGTGATCACATATGACGCGCGCAACGAACACAGCTGGTTCCCTATCACGATTACTCCAAAGGCGGATGTTGCGAGAAATGAAAGTGGGGTTGCACCGGTGAAGAGAAATCCGAGACCGAAGGGCTCAAAAATCATGAAATGGGACCATGAGTTCCTAGTTCATTTCCGCTCTCGGCGAGATTCGACGCTAGATCAGATTATTGACGTGAATCCCTCGCTCTGGCGCCTCTACTTTCTCGCCGCAGACGATCTCTCACCATCGACCATTGCAGTTCGCAGTTCTCGAGTTCTCCAATAGGAGGCTGGAAGCGCCACGGCAGGTGGCGCTTGCCACAGTTAGAGTTAGCTATGTGGCTGGACGCGCAATACATGTCTCTACTCGCTTCCCTTGAGAGCCCGTTTGTGTTTTGTTATAAGCGAACGACTCATTCCTTCACATCCGATTTATCGTAGCATTTTCCTTTAAGCTTCAATGAATCTCAGTGACTTTGGTGCTGTGCCGTTTGATCTTCCATCCTTTGAGAAGGCGAGAATGTTGAAATTCAGCATGATAACCGCTGTTATAAACAGTCGGTACAAACCTGACCGCAAGTATCTCACCGTACAGAGCAGAA